TTAATTTTATTTTGTTCTTTATTAGATTTTTAAAATTTATTAGACACGTCGCAATATATAAATAAATTCATAATTTGTAAAATGAAATAATGGTTAACACAATAAATAAGAAAAATGAGTAATAGTAATAATTATTATACAATAATTTTAGAATATTTCTATTATTAAATATTTATCAATTATCATTAAATATTAAATATCATGGGTAAATAAACATTTCCAAAAATATGATATTTCTTCTAAAGTTATCAAAAATATTGAATACACTCTGTAACGTATGGAGGGTGGGTTACTTCACGGCACTTACGCCTCAGTTAGGATTCATTGCAACAATAAAAAAAAATGTTTGACAAACGCAAAGGCATGAGATCTCTGTATAATAAATTAATATAATTTAAAGGTCAATAAAGTTATTATAGAAGATAAATAAGTTATTTTACTATACATATAACTGTCAGTTATTGAACACTATGTAGAGTTCACTTGGATATTAGCAAAACCTATTGGAAAGCGTTTAATAAGCGACACTCAGAGCTGGATAAAGTACTGTTTTTTCATGAGTAATTACTTTACAATGAGTATCTCCTCAAAGTACTTATATACGTACCTGAGTATCAGTAACTATATGAATAATACTCAGAGGAAATCAATACTTTTGCAAATTTTAGAGGATAATCGTGAAACGGTTATGAGTATTTTAAACAATTCTAGTTAGTGACTCAAGGTTAGAAAGAAGGAATTATAGTAATTAGTACATAATAATAAGTCAGTAAGCAACAATCAAAAACGAGAATATAACTTATCTTCTATTAATTAGTTAGCACTTACCATTAACGTGTACGTCCAACTTTTGAATTTTAAAATAATAAAGGTATTAAGTAGAGGTACATGTAGGGAATACTCAAAAGAACAGTAATATATTTTAAAACGTATATATAGAGTAGACTAAAATGCACATATATGGACTGAAAAAAAGCAGGAAAAACTTTTTTATTTTCAGTTTTTCGAAAAAATATTCTTTATAAAAGTTTTAGCTTGTTTCAAAACTTATAATGATCCAAACAGAAGTTAATTAACTCTTTGCTTTAGTGAAATAATGACAAAAAAAAACTTCTATTTGGATTATTATAATTTTTGTAATAATAAGTAAATATAGCTAAATTTTCAATTCCGAATGAACGAGAAAATTCTTGTTATTCAAAAATATCGCGTCACGTCACGTGACTTTTCGTTATTGTAAGAGAAAATGTCGAACCTCAAAATCAGTTTTCGAATATGTCGACCCCTGGGAAACCGCTTTCGACCCCAAGGGGTCGGTATCGACCAGTTTCTCATGTTTGTTCCCCAAACAGAAAACATTAATTTTTAAAGTCCATTTTGGAGCACCGTCCCTGTTCTAATACACTAACCTTCCTTCATGTTTAAAACGAGACGATTTTCTACTATAAATTGAAACAGACTATATATGGTTTTGAATTAATATTTAAAAAAATAATTTTATGTTGTGTATCTCTCAATAAAACACCCTGTATAAGAAATGTGTACTGTGCAACATTTTTTCGTTAAAATACCATATTGGCTAATACTTTATGAAAATATGCTTCCCTGACATCACAGTAAAATTAGTGATTTGTAGAAAGCTACTGTCACACATTTGTGAATCACCTTGTAATTTTTAATTGTACGTATGTACTATAGTCTATTTTTATGTATGAGAGAGTAATAAAACAGCATTTCTAATGCAAAACTTAGTACGGTCATTTTAAATATTTTTACAGAATAATCTAAATATTTCCTAAAATTGTAATAAATGTACCTGAATTATTACAAGTTTTGGGTCTTTTGTTGGTCCTTTATAAACATAAGCTGTACAGAACAATAGAAAAAGGTTTGGACAGGCCAAAAGCACTGTGTATTAAAGATTACATAGCCGTATCTTAAGATTATTTTCAATAAGTACCTATTTGCCAATTTTGTTTTATTTTAATTCCAAGAATTTCTTACAGTAATCGAATTATAAGTAGATAAATACCTTCCCAACAAATTTCACCGAAAATGCGATTATAGGTTTTCCATTTAGTAAGGAGGTCCAAGTTGTGTATTCTTGACAGTTTACTGCAAGGTGCAGTGTGAATTCTAGTGTGATCATGGAAAATTTGGAAGGGCCGCGTAAACGACAAAAAATCGGTCCTTTAACAGTTAATGAAAAAACATTAATATTTAATTGTTTTAAATCATTTACAGACGAACATTTATGTAAAAGTGTTGATGACACAGTGGAATTAGTTAGTAGTACGCTTGGTGTTGGGAAATCTACGATTTACAGAGTTGTTAAAGAAGAGAAATGTGGCGAGCACGTAAAGCTCCAGGAAAACCAAAATTTCAATTAGAAAATCTTTTGAAAGAAAGACTTCGAAGGAAAGTGCATGCGTTCTTCTTTAGAAAAGAATTTCCGACAGTAGACAAAGTTCTTGCCACGGTTCGAGATGATAAGGATTACCCTGAAATGAGTCGAAGCACACTATGGAAACTTTTAAAAGAAATAGGTTTTCTATGGAAAAAGCATTCCAGCAAGTCTATTTTAATAGAAAGAAGCGATATTGTATTATGGAGAAGAAATTACCTAAGGACTATAAAAGAAATGAGAAACCAAAGAAGAAATATATTTTATTTAGATGAAACATGGATCAACGAGGGACATAAACCAAATAAATTTTGGCAAGATGAAACTGTTACAAGTCGAAGACAGGCTTTTTTAAATAATTTATCTACTGGTTTAAATCCAGCATCAGGAAAGGGGCGCAGACTAATAATAGTACACATCGGTAGTTCAAACGGTTTTGTTAAAGGTGGTTTATTGACTTTTGAATCTACTCGTACCGGTGACTACCATGAGGACATGAATGCTGATGTCTTTAAACAGTGGTTCGAACAAATTATAGATGTTTTTCCTCAGAACTGTATAATAGTAATGGATAATGCAAGTTATCACTCGAGACTTTTAGAAAAAATGCCCACAACCAAGTAGTTAAAAAAAGATTTACAGAATTGGCTAAATTCAAAGAATATTAAGTTCCATCCCGGTTCTGTGAGAAAAGAACTGTATCATTTGTGTTCCCTTCATAAAGAGAAATTCAAAAAATATGAAATTGATGAAATTGCAAAAAATCGTGAGATGACGGTGGTTAGATCACCACCATATCATTGCGAAGTAAACACGATTGAACTGATATGGGCACAGATACAGGGAGAAGTTTCAAGAAAAAAGAATTCTTTAAATTATTTATTGTTTCGGCCTTTACTTGATGAAAATCCATTTAATTTTGAAAGAGTAAAACCAAATTTGGTAGATTTTCACACTTTTATTTTAAAAATAAAAATTTTTAAAAAAAAAAACACTAACATGACATATGTTTCGAAGTACAACTTCTTTTAATTTTTATTTTTAAAATAAAAGTGTGAAAATCTACCAAATTTGGTTTTACTCTTTCAAAATTCTTTTAAAATGAGTGATGTTAAACAGTTGTTTTTGGAGGCTGTAAATAATGTGAAGCCTGAAAACTTTAAAAAGGCAGTAAATCATACGATTAAAGAAGAAGAGAAAATGTGGAAGTTGGACAATATTACTGATGAAATGATCGAGCCACTCATTGTAAATATTGGTTGCGACAGTTCATCTGCTGATTTCGATTCTGATTTGGATTTGTAGGTAAGAAGTAGTTTTTATATTAAAATTATTATTTATGAACGTAACGTTGTTTAAAAGTCAAAGTTTAAACCCTTATACCTACATAACCCATTTGACACAATGTTCTTAACATACCTTGTGGAAAAATAAAACATTTTAGAAAAAATTGCACTTTTTTACCTTCAGCTCTTTAGAAGTTATAAGCAAGTTAATTAGGTGAAAATATAAGTGTATACTATACTCGAGGAATAACTTCAAAAAATATTTTAACTGTACTAAAAGAAGTGATACTATGCCTATGGATTACGAACGCTTTATTATTTTAATACTCTCTCATATACATAAAAATAGACTATAATGTATTACTAAAACATGTAGTAAACGTGTGTAGGCAACAGAAATTCAAACTAGCTCGTAAGTTTGAAAATAAAAATACTGAAAAACTGGGCAATATTTAACTTTAACACTCAATACATCAAAACAATAGGATTGAGTTGGGTCCATTGACACTTTTGGTAACTAGGTTGAGTACTACAACATACACCAAAGTTTTAGAATATTTGGGGTGAGATTACAGAACGTCTGCAACTTTGCAGATCTGCAAATATGGCGGACTTACAGATGCAAGTGTCAAGTTTTCGTATTCGAAAAATGGTCGGCAAATTCGCAAAAACATTATTGTAGTTTAATACCCCCCAACAACACTAAACCCAAATCCATTACTATGTTTAAAAACTCGAAAAGAAAAAATTGACAATCTGCAAATTTGTAGGATTTTCTAACCTCCTGTAAAGTTACAGACGATTTGCAGAGCTTCTGTAATCTCACCCTTAACCACAATAAATATTACGAATTTTCAGATATTTTTTGGAATACAAAAACTGTAAATTCGCCATATTTGCAGATCTGCAAAGTTGCAGACGTTCTGTAATCTCACTCTTGATCGGTCGCCAGTTGACATAAAGAATGTGCAGGGTCCTTTTTTTTTTAAATTCCTTATTACTACCAAAACATAACACTTTATATTTGTTATAATCGACTGAAAATAATTGCTAATAGTACCATATACCTACTCTATATTTTATGTTTTAATAATGTATCAAATATTATTAAAAAAAATTGTTTACTTCAGGGATAACTAAATGCCATAAAGAACGCCAGGCACGTCAGGTATTTTTTTTTTTAATAAAATCAGGTTGCACCGTAGGCGGGTGCGGGCTGGTACCTACACAGGACAAATATCGGTACCTGGATACCTATTTGACATACTAATTTATACGATGATACGGCTATACAATACAAATATTCAAATCGAACACTTTAAAAATTACGGTACCTGTAGTTCTCTGAAAACAACACAGTTTTGTTGCTGTATATCTATATATATTAATTTAGTAGTCACTTTATTTTTCAGTGTACGCTTCAAAGTTGCAGGTATCGGACATAGGTATTTTAAAATGTTGATTTCCTGCATCATATTGTAGCTTTCACCTTTCGGATGGATTTTCGCAATATATCTGTTTGTGATGCATCTGATTCTAGTACAAAATTTGCTTAAATCTATCAGTATTTTAATTGTAGTAAAAACGTAACTTTTATTTATTTATTTAAATTTTTTTCGTCGTATTTTTATTTATTTATTTACAAGTATGGTTAAAATAGTGAGTTTGTTCGTTAGTAAAATTTCGATCGTTATTTATTTGTGAGTATAGAATTTAAAACAAAAATGTGCGTTTATTAAATGTGAGTTTTTGCAGAATGTTGACTGGAGATACATTGGCTAGATTCACACTGCATAATTAGTAAGTACCTAACATTTTTAATTCAACATAATTACTTTCTACGAATTTTCGACGGGTATATACATTTTGGGGTCTCCTGAATCTGTCTGACCATTTTCGTGATAATTTTGTCTATTTATCTGTACCTTTGATAACTTAAAAAGACGTAAAAAGAAAATCATCAAATTTGATAATAAAAATAATATTTTAATAAAAATTTCTTGGAGGTGAAATTTATATTAAAAAAATATCCTTTCTTTCTAGACTTGGGTAATTTTTTGAAAATAAATTTTAGTAATTATTTTTCGTTCTTATCTTACATTCTCAAAGCTTTCGACCCCAATTGGACGTCCTTCTTCAGTGGGTTTGTTTAAATTTTATGTAATATAATACATATACATGCAATATATGGAAAATAATTAATGTAAAATAAACTGACACCCCATTAATAATCAATATATGTTGTACAATGGATGACAAATTCATTCTTGATAATTTTAATATATATTAGACAAGATTAGACAACAAATTAAACAACAAAATAGACAAAATATTAAACAAAATTAGACAACAAATTAGACAGCAGATTAGACAAAATTAGACAACAAATTAGACAAAATTAGACAACAAATTAGACAACAAATTAGACAACCAATTAGACAACAAATTAGACAACAAATCTAACAACAAATTAGATGACAAAATAGACAACAAATTAAACAAAATGAAATAAAGTTAGATAAACTTGGACAAAATTAGACAAAATTAGACAAAATTAGACAAAATTAGACAAAATTAGACAAAATTAGACAAAATTAGACAAAATTAGACAAAATTAGACAAAATTAGACAAAATTAGACAAAATAAAACAAAATTAGACAAAATTAGAAAAAAATAAAACAAAATTAGACAAAATTATACAACAAATTAAACAACAAATTAAATAACAAATTAGACAACGAATTAGACAACAAATTAAACAACAAATTAGACAACAAAATTGACAACAAAATAGGCAACAAATTAGATAACAAATTAGATAACAAATTAGACAACAAATTAGATAACAAAATAGACAACAAATTAAACAAAATTGGATAAAATAAAGCAAAATAAAACAAAATTAGACAACGAATTTGACAACAAATTGGACAACAAAGTAGAATACAAATTAGACAACAAATTAAACAACAAATTAGATAACAAAATAGACAACAAATTAGACAATTGGACAAAATTAAATAAAATACAACAAAATAAAACAAAATTAGACAAAATTAGACAATAAATTAGACAACAAATTAGACAAAAAACTAGACAACAAAATAGGTAATAAATTAGATAACAAATTAGACAACAAATTAGACAAAATAAAACAAAATTAGACAACAAATTAGACAAAGAATTTGACAACAAATTAGACAACAAAGTAGAATACAAATTAGACAACAAATTAAACAACAAATTAAACAATAAATTAGACAACAAATTAGACAACAAATTAGACAACAAAATAGACAACAAATTAGACAAAATTAGACAAAAAATTAGACAAAATTAGACAAACTTGGACAAAATTAGACTTAATTAGATATAATTAGACATAATTAGATAAAATTAGAGATAGTTAGACATAATTAGAAAAATTTACATAAAAGAATTATTGTGGAATGAGGTACCAGTCATTAATAATCAATATAGGTTGTGTAATGGGTGACAAATTCATGCATGATAATTTTAATATATATTAGACAAATTAGACAACATTAGACGAAATTAGAGAACAAATTGGACAACAAATTAGACAAAATAAAACAAAATTAGATAAATTTAGACAAAATTAGACAACAAATTAGACAAAATTATACAAAATTAGACAAAATTAGACAAAATTAGACAAAATTAGACAAAATTAGACAAAATTAGACAAAATTAGACAAAATTAGACAAAATTAGACAAAATTAGACAAAATTAGACAAAATTAGACAAAATTAGACAAAATTAGACAAAATTAGACAAAATTAGACAAAATTAGACAAAATTAGACAAAATAAGACAAAATTAGACAAAATTAGACAAAATTAGACAAAATTAGACAAAATTAGACAAACTTAGACAAAATAAAACAAAAGTAAATAAATTGAGACAAAATTAAACAACAAATTAGACAAATTTCCATAAAATTAAACAAAAAAGCTTAAAACTAGGCGTCATCCCCTTATAAAGCTTGATTTTTCCTAAATATTAGATAATTAAATAATTAGACAAAATTAGACAAATTTACATAAAATTAGACAAATAAGCTTAAAACTAAGCTTCATTCCCTTATAAAGCTTGATTTTTCCTAAATATTAGATAAATAATTATTAATTTAATAATTAGACATCATTAGACATAATTAGACATAATTAGACATAATTAGACATAATTAGACATAATTAGACATAATTAGACATAATTAGACATAATTAGACATAATTAGACATAATTAGACATAATTAGACATAACTAGACATCATTAGACATAATTAGATATAATTAGACATAATTAGACATAATTAGACATAATTAGACATAATTAGACATAATTAGACATAATTAGACATAATTAGACATAATTAGACATAATTAGACATAATTAGACATAATTAGACATAATTAGACATAATTAGACATAATTAGACATAATTAGACATAATTAGACATAATTAGACATAATTAGACATAATTAGACATAATTAGACATAATTAGACATAATTAAACATAATTAGATATAATTAGATATAATTAGATATAATTAGATATAATTAGATATAATTAGATATAATTAGATATAATTAGATATAATTAGATATAATTAGATATAATTAGATATAATTAGATATAATTAGATATAATTAGATATAATTAGATATAATTAGATATAATTAGATATAATTAGATATAATTAGATATAATTAGATATAATTAGATATAATTAGATATAATTAGATATAATTAGATATAATTAGATATAATTAGATATAATTAGATATAATTAGATATAATTAGATATAATTAGATATAATTAGATATAATTAGATATAATTAGACATAATTAGACATAATTAGTCATAATTAGACATACTTAGACGAAATTAGACATAATTAGATAAAATTAGACAAATTTACATAAAATTAGACAAATAAACTTAAAAATAGGCTTCGTCCCCTTATCAAGCTTGATTTTCCTAAATATTTTAATTTGATATCGTTTTTTGTTTCTAAATTAAAATTTTTTTCAATATTTCAACCCTTAAATCCCCATTTTTAATTATTTATCTGTTCATTCTCTCGTTGATTTTTACTAAAAATTTCATGTTGGTATCGCTTTTGATTTTTAATTTCTATTTTTTTATTTCAACCCCCCCCCCTTTACCCCCATTTTATTTTAATTTCTTTAAAAGTATTAAGCTTTGTCCCTTATAGAGCTTGATTTGAGCCAAAAATTTCAAGTTGATATTATTTTTCGTTTTTTAGTTAGGATTTTTTTTTAAATATTTTAGCCCCCAATTTTATTTTCAAGATCAATAGGCTTCATTTTCTTATTTAACTTGATTTTTACTAAAAATTTTATCTTGATATGGTAGTAAATGCTGATATACAGTGTAGCCCAATTAAAACGGTCCACCTGAAATATTTTTTACATTAATTTTAACACAGAACAAAAAAAATGTCAGCATATTTGAAAATTGAGAAATGAAATATCTTTAAAATAATGTGTCACTCAACCCCTCGTGTCATTTAGTATTCTTGAAGGGATTACCACCCCGTTCAGGGGGATGAACATACTTCCATGAATTAAAGAACAAAAGAAGTCTCCTTGAAATCAAAATCTCGGGGATTTCCCAAAAAAACTTCTAGGAAAATCAAAAAATGTTTCATATATTTACTTAAATACTTTTTGATTAATTGTTCCATACACAATAAATTGGACAATTTTACTGGAAAGTCATGTGTTGGATTCATCAGATATTTTCACACTGTGTTTGTAAACGATACTTACCAGCCTTGATACATACGAGTAGATAAACTATTAATTATTTATTAATGAATATGATAGCGTTCTTTTGTGTTTTAATTTCTATATAAAGGTGAAATATAAAATTTAATTATTAAATGCATAGAAAGCTAGTCAATAACAAATTTTATGTATGAAATCCTCACAATTATTAAATTTCCCCAGATTTTTATAAACTTCGAGATGAAAAAAATTGCTTATTACATAACAAGGCGTTCTTAGAGTAATTATTAACTCAGAGGTATGTATGAAGAATCATTTAAAACGTTTCCAGAAAATCAGTTTCTTTCATGAATCTAATAATTAACTACATAACTACATTCACATGATCTTGATCTTCATTGGAAAATCCTAATCGAGCTATTTTCAAACGATTCTTCTATAATTTCTAGTAGATAATAATAATTATTGTTATTAGAAGTTAAATGGCATTCTTATCGCCCAGTATACAGTAGGTACGTTCCAGAAAAATGATTCAACGTTTGGTTAATATTTATTTTTTTGTTTATAAATCCATTTTCCGTTAAAGATATAACGATACAAGCAGGGGCGGCTCGTGACCAAAATTTTGGGGGGTTCACACTAGCAGAATATAGATGTCGGTACAGATATAGGTAAAAAATTGTCAGTGTTTTAGAAAGGTATATTGTAAACTTTCTAAAACACCGAAAGGTTTTTTTCATATATCTGTACTGATTTCTATATTCTGTCGCTGTGAACCCCCAAAATTTTGGTCACGAGCCGCCGCTGGATACAAGTTAGATTACGCTATGTCTAACGGAACTACTTTAATTTCGTAAAACGAGGCGTAGAAGTAAACTTTGACAAAAGTGAGTGGTAAAAACATTTTTTTTCGGCAACAATACTGATATCCCATGGTTTATTAAATTACTTCGGCTATTTACACATATTATGAGACACCTTGTATAACAATCTTATTAATATTCGGCGGATACTT